AAAAGAGGGACAGTCTCGGAAACCTACAAGGGAAGTTCTACTCTGTCCTACAGGGTCACTGTGAGTTGGAATAGATGCAGTGGCAGTGAGAATGAGGAAGTAATTTTGTTTTGTTTTACTAAACAAAGGACATAGCTATTTCACTAGGACATGAGAGTTTGTGGACTTTGCCATGGCTTACTGTTCTGTGTTCATTTGCTCTAGATTTGTACCCTGTTGAAGTGCAAAACAACTGACCCCAATACATGTGGTGACTCGGTGGAAACAGCGTCCACCAGGTTTGAGCGGTTCTCCCTCAGTGGTACGTTTGCAACCCAGTACGTCTTCCCGGAGGTGCTGTTGAGTGAAGTTCAGCTTGCACCTGGAGGATTTCAGGTGAGAATCTGTGACAATTCATTTCACCCATGAGACCCAAAACGTGCTCAAGTGCAACACAATAAAAACTCACTATCAGAAAGGATAAATTGGCCATGGGGAATCACCAAGAACATTGAGTAGATGGAATTGTATGTCTGAAAATTCTTAAGAATCATGTACCATTCACCAGTAGATAGGTCATGAAACTTTCATGTTGAAAATGGAGAATTTTGACCTCTTTATTAAAAAAAAAGAGTAAGTAAATATATTTATTTGGGGAGGGGCATCGATATGAGAGGGGGCTGGGCTGTTTAAGGTCTATCAAATAGGAAGGAGCCTCAAGAACAGCAGTTTCAGGGGGTGCCACATCAAGGACCCCTTGGGGCATTACCAGAAAGGAGATGGCCAAGCAAGGGGAAGGGGAGGGGTTCCTGGCAAGGTCTGGTGGATGTCTGGTGCCACCATGGCCATAGAAGAAAAGAGAAGCCAGACCTGAGGGAGAGAGCATCTGACAGTGCCTGGGGGTGAGAAGGAGGTGCAAGCTGTGTGTTTTAGAGTTCAGAAACAATTCCTTGCCCACAGTCACTCTGCCCGGCCACAATCTTCCACCAAGTTTTCCTGAACGTTTCTGCCTTCTCAGTAGAATAGTAGCCCCGGTGTTGTAGTGGGTTAAGGGTTGGGCTGTTTACCACAAGTCTGACTGTTCAAACCCCACAGCTACCTCATAGTAGACAATAAGAGTGTCTGCACCCATGAAGAACTAGTCTTGGGGAAACCCCAAGGAGCAGTTCCGTGTTGTCCTATAAGGTCACTGTGAGTCAGAATTGACTTGGTGGCAGTGGCTGGGTCCAATTTCGGAGGGACAGCATAGGGTATGAGTGAGTGGGAAAGTTACAAGGATGTGGTGGCTAGATCGCTGGACCACAGGGGTTTGGTTCAAACCCCTCTTCTGACTTTTTATGTAGCGAGGTCCTAGCTTGTCTGACACGAACAGCATATTTCTCATATTTCTCATATTCTCTTGGATCTATTGCTTTATGTTGATAAAAAGGCTTATAAGAGGCTTCCTTAGATCGCTTCTCAGCCTTTGGGCTAAGATCAAGAGGCTTCCTTAGATAAGTAAATTATAAGATATTTACTGCAAACATATCAATAATAAACAAGTCAGGGCCAACTCCTTGATTCCGTTTTGTCCTACGCACTGTACCATTTCACACATTGCTGATAGAACAGCGTTTTATCCACATTCTAAAAATACGGATCAAATGTTGCTTCTTTCATCATCTAGTTATGCTGGATAAATGTAATTATGGAATTATATAACACTTTTCGTGGAATTAAAGTCAGATCCTCTCTACCTTTCTTTGTGTTCACTAGGTGTCAAGTGATGGACAATTGTCCAGCCTGAAGCCATCATCTGGCCCCGTCTTAACAGTAACTCTGTTTGGGAGGTGGTACGACAAGGACCAGACTTTAACTGCTTCATCAGACCTTATAGCACAAGCACAAAGTGTGCTAATGTTAGTGCAAACAGTTATCGCACACTTATTAATTTGGTGGAATTATTAAATTTTATAGCTTACCTTTATTTTTCCTTTTTAGATAATAGAAGATGGGTGCTGGAGAAAACAAGGTTTTGATAATCTTGGTGTCGAATAAAAGTGAATTCCCAGGCTCTCTCTTTCACACACACACACACACACACACACACACACACACACACACCCCTTTTAGTTCAAAGTGGATAAAGAATAGCAAAACTTAGAAAAACAAAATCTATAAAAGTAGAATAGTAATTATGCTCACTTAGTGTTTCCCATGATAATTTAATAAGTTAATAAATTTAGAGTGCTTCGACAAGTCTCTGATTACTGAAAAGCACTTCATATATGTTAGCTGTTATAATAAAATGTGACTAGCAGAAGAAAATCAATTGTAACCTGTTTATTTCTCTTTTTAAAAAAACAAAAAACAAAACATTTTCTTCATTCTTGCACACATCATTATTCAATCCCCATTTCCTCCTAACTTTCCCTGCTGTACCCTCAAGGAACCATTAATCCAATTACTGTCTCCATAGATTTACTTATCTTTGAGTTTATACACAGAAAAACATTAAAAATATTTTTTATCCAATAACAATAAGAAAGTAAAACAAAAACATTTCAATCAAAAAGGAAATAGAAAATCATGAAATTTAAACAAATTTAAAATGGTTCAAAAGGGAGATCAAATTGTAAGGTGTTAAATTTTAACCTAACTCTATGTGCGTAAATGTACAATGCATTCTCCATGATAGCAAGGCTATTCACATCCCAGGGCTTTGGTCAGGGGGGATTCACATCATCCACCTTGCTCTAGAGCAGTGGTTCTCAACCTTCCTAATGCCATGACCTTTTAATACTGTTCCTCATATTGTGGTGACCCCCAACCGTAAAATTATATTTGTTGCTACTTCATAACTGTAATTTTGCTACTGTTGCAAATTGTAATGTAAGTATCTGATATGCAAGATGTATTTTCATTGTTACAAATAGAACATAATTAAAGCATAGTGATGAATACAAAACAATATGTAATTATATAATGTGAAATATTTATTTCTAATTACAAATTAAGGAAATTTTGCCTCAAAGCATGGTATAGCATGGGTAACAATCTTCAAGCCAGGTACTCGTATGTGGGTGTAGCTGCATGTGGGCAGAGCCGCCTGGAGACAGACAGAGGACCGGTGTCTCAGTTCATAAGAGCATCAGAAATAAGTGTTTTCCAATGGTCTTATGTGACCCCCCAAAGAGGTTGCAACCCACAGGTTGAGAACTGCTGCTCTAGAGCTTTTCTTAACATTTGTGTATGTTTATTTTATGCTCTTTTTGATGTGCCTCTAAAACTTTGTTATTTCTACTATAGAAAACTTTTGTGGTTTTAATGTGATACAACCTACTTTAAAAAAATCATTTTATTAGGGGCTCATACAACTCCTATCACAATCCATACATACATCAATTGTGTAAAGCACATTTGTACATTCATTGCCCTC